TATATATTAGTTACTGTTGCAATCTATCTTTTCGGTGTTCCATGCATAATGTCTGTTATCCTCGGGGTAAAAGAATTGTACTTGTAAATTTGTGATTCGTACTTGTAATGTTGTGAAGTTGTAACTTTGTAACTTGTATTTGTAACTTTTAAAATTGTATTGTCACAGAAAACATATTTGCTTTTACATGAATACAAATATAAATCTAAAATTTATGCACGGTTATTGACATACATGTACAAATTTAGACTCTTTCTGACAGTTGTGTTTTCTCATAATTATGCAGTTTTAGCATGAAACAACAGAAAAAATTAATATTTAATAATATTTAAGTATTTATCTTTGCGTCTTGTGCTTCCCGCAGCGGCCAGCAGCTGTGTAGTGACGGAGTGGGGGGAGTGGGACCCCTGCAGTGTCACCTGTGGTGTTGGAATAAAGCGACGGGAGCGCATGGTGAAGATGCCTCCTATAGACGGCTCCATGTGTAAAACCCAAGTGGCAGAAGTGGAGAAATGCATGATGCCCGAATGCCGTGAGTTGAAAGCCGATGTGGCCGCAGCACGTTCGGATCGACCCGTGTGTTTATCTGTTTTTCATTTGTGCGTCCAGACACCATCCCCTGCATGCTGTCGCCCTGGTCCGAGTGGAGCGAGTGCAGCGTGACGTGTGGGCGGGGCCTGCGCACCCGTCAGAGGATGCTGAAGTCGGATCCGGCCGGCTGCACGGAGGAGCTGGAGCAGACGGAGAAGTGCATGCTGCCCGAGTGCCGTCAGTGGCTGCTTTCTTTCTCTTCTGTTCAAAAACACGCTGTGCTTCTTCCCTCTGATGGTTTTAAACAGAAACGTTATTCACAGAAGCGTTCCGAGGCGAAACCAATCAAAGCGTTTAGTTTCTCAGAAGTTCCTGCTGGATCAGTTTGAACAGCTGGCCTCCGTGTGCAGATTAGAAATCAAAACATTTGACTAAAATGCGCCACATCTTTCACAGAACCGCACAAGATTATGGTTTTAAAGTCTCATTTACATGTTTGTGAGCTCAGTTTTCAGATTTCTGTCTGAATATAAATAAGATTATTTTATTGAATTATAATTTAACTTCTCTGCTGAGAGAAAAGTTTGTTCTCTTCCTCCTCCTCGACACAAAACTGCTACGTTTAGCAGAAATAAATCTCTAAAGTTTTTATCTTCAGGTTCGGTAAATCTTTGTCTTTATGAGCAAAGACAAAGATTTATTCTTTCTGCCTGCAGAGTTATTTCACACGACTGTCATTAATCCCTCAGAATGGGATTATACAACGAGTCATTTGTCACTGCAGGAAATGTGGACATTTGAACCGAAAGAGGAAGAGACTGGGAAAACTGGGACAAGAGTTGCTCTAACAGATACAGATGCTGTTCAAAGAACCGTTCAAACTTTTGATTGTTCGTCTTTAAATGTGACAACATGTGACAAATTACAAATCCTACAGCGTGGATAGTTGCACAGGTGTGTTTGAAACAACAATCTGTTCTTAAATAAGAAAAAAAATACACATTGGGCCTCATGCAAGAACCGTTCGTACGCACAGATTTGTTCTTAAGTTGTGCGCACGAGTGATTTAGGAGAATTTGTGGCATTCACCAATGTTTTCTTATTCTAAGATTTTTTTCAGATACGAACAAAATTCACGAGTGGTCCAGACCT